GGGATTTAGCTAAGGAAAGGAAGATCAAAACTATGAGCAGTAAAATGACACCAATCTCACAGCCACCAACAACTTAACCTAAAAAAACAAAAACAAACTAAGCAAACAACTAGAACAGGAACAGAATCTCAGAAATGGAGATCACATGGAGGGTTATCAGCAGGGAGGATGGGGGAAAGGGTACAGGGAATAAAATAAGAAGCATAATTGGTAGGTACAAAACAGACAGGGGGGAGTTAATAACAGTACAGGAAATGTGAAGCCAAAGAACTTATATGCACGAACCATGGACATGAACTTAAAGGCGGTGGGGAATGCTGGAGGGAGGGAGGGGTGCAGGACAGAGGGAGTTAAAGGGGAGGGGAAAAGTGGGACAACCGTAATAGCATAATAAAATACACTTAAAAATAAATAAACAAAATAGATTTCTGGTAGGTTCAGACGGTCTTTCCTTGACAAACACCTTCTACAGACGACACGACCTGCGGGAAGCCTTTGCTTAGGGGAGTGGGGTGTGAGCAGGGTCTGTCCCACGACCACTGAGGACCTCTGCGTGTCTGGCCTTGGGACTTGCTGTGTGACCTTGGGCGAGTCCCAGACCCTCTCTGGAACCCAGCTGTCTCATCTCTCAAGTGAGTGGTGGGCTGTATGACACCCGGCAACGGCCACCCTGTGGTCGGTCACCACTCTGCTGGCCCGGCTCTGGGGAATTCTGGAGCCACCGGTCACTGGCTCATCAGAACCGACTGCTCAATTTTCAGGAATTTTTTGTAAGCTGGTTGTTAAACACGACCATTATTGAAAATGACCTTGTAGAACCTTTTAGTTTTAAAAACCACATTAAAAACAAAGATGACCTGGCTGGTGTAGCTCAGTGAATTGAGCTCAGGCCTGCGAACCGCACAATCGTGCTTCGATTCCCAGTCAGGGCACGTGCCTGGGTTGCAGGCCAGTTCCCAGCAGGGGACTCACTAGAAGCAACCACACATTGATGTTTCTCTCCTTCTCGCCTTCCCTTCCTCTCTAAAGATAAATAAATAAAATTAAAAAAACAAAGATGCTACACACGCAAATACGCATCACTTTCCTAATTACTTCACCTTCTCCTGTCGTCTGTACTCCTGAAGTGATTCACAGCTACCCTGTCAGTGTGGCAGAAATACGTCATCGCGGAGGGGCACGCCCTCCCCAACTCTGCCGCAGTGCCGTTGGCCCGGCAGCCTGAAACTGACCGAGGGGGGAATACTTACATCGCCCAAACTGGCAAGAGGCTGGCCACCAGGGCCGTTCTCCCCAGAGGAAGGACTGGTACACGTTTACCAGAAAGGCCACGCTCTCTCATTCCCGTGACAAATGTGAGAAAAGAGACCCAGTCTTCAAAAACTTTCCCAGAGGCGGAAATCTGGCTCAGGGCTGGGGCTTGGGGGGCAGGGAGGGGGATGCTGGGGACAGTTAGAAACCAGAGCAAATGCCGGAGGTCGGCACTAGGTTTCCTGCCTTCGCCCCCCGGGACCTTAGGTGCGTCCAGAGCTACAGAGCATACACTCTCCCACACCGCGGGCCACTAACCTTCTGTGGCTACTGAGCACCTGAAATGTGGCTAGCACTGAAAATTGATCATGTTCTTTCTACAACAAGGAATAGATGTCTCACCCCCGGGAAAACTGCCACAGGGTCGCGATTACCTAAAACAACAGTTCTCAAACTTAATCAAGGCTCAGAGGCCCACAGTAGGCTCCTTAAAACACAGATTGCTGGGCCCCTCCCCTGAGTTCTCATTCTGAAGGTCTGCGAGGGGGTGGGGAGCTGATATGTTACATTTCTGACAAGGCCCCAGGTGCTGCTGCCGGTCAGAGGGCTGCAGGTTGGGAACAGACCTAGTAAATCCAGTGCCAACTCCTCGCCTTGGCATTCAAGGCCCTGCAGCCGCAGCCGCCGACTACGTTACTGCCCTCATCCTTCACCGCCTGCACACTGAACCCCGTCCACCCCTCACCCAGACATGCGCGCCTTCCCTGCCTCCACACCGGGGCCCAGCTGTCCCTGCTACCTGAAACCCTCCCTCCCTCTTGACCCACCCAGCTCTAGTACCACTTCCCTGACTTCACTCGAGTCTCCAAAAGGAGGAGGTGGCCCCTTTCAAGGCTGACAAAGTAGCAAATGGAGGCTAAGAAACAGGGTCCGCAACAGCAGCAGCCCTGGATGAAAACATACCAGCCTAACGTGACAACTCAGGGCCAGAAAATGCTGCTGTGTCTCTTTCAACAACCTCAGCAGTCACGGTCTAGTTACAAAATGTCCTTTTTCTCTATCTGCTTTTCCAGCTCGGCTGCTTTCTAGCAGCGTGGCCTTGGGGAGGAGCGGGGCAGGGCAGGGACTCAGTCCCTTTGTTTCTCCTGTTCATCTGTAAATTGGAGATAAGAACCTCACAGAAAGAAGAAGAAACGATGCAATGTGAGTAAAATTCACAGCCAAAAGGCCTAGCACTCCGCATGTCCTCGGTCCAGGTTGGCTGCTGTGGTATTGTCTTTGGACCTGAGACAGTAATGACCTTGGTATCCCGCCACAATCGATAATGAGCACAGACACATAAAAGATGTTTTGCTTCATGGGCACATAATCAGCAGCCCCGGAAAGGGCTGCGGGGAGGAGCAGCAGGGCAGATGGACAGATCGAGGGGAGGACGGACACTGGGAAGATGGGAAACCCCTTTACGTCCTGTCAAGCATGGCTCTGTGGGGCCGGCTACATGAGAGACGCTCAGAAATCTGAAAAAAAAAAAAAAAAAGCCCCAAAAGAGGTTCTCAAGCAACAACACAAAAACTCAGAGCTGTCCACCGGAGTCGTTTATCACCAAAAAATACCAAGGAAATGCCTAAATGCGCATCAGTAGGGACCAGCGCAGTCAGGCGGTGGAATTCCAGAGAAATAAACACAGACAATAAGGATGCAGGTATTTCCCTATGGACATGAAATTTCCTCTTCATATACTGTCCATTAAAAAGAGTAGAGTAAAAAGTAAAAAAAAAAAGTAACCACATATAGTACAAATTCATTTAAAAAAAACACACACCAAACCTGTGGGTATGGGAGTGTGGGTATATTAAAAGTGGGGGGGAGGGGGTGGGAAAAGAAACTGTACTTGAAAAATACTATTTTAAAAAAAGTCTAGAAAAAGACACTCCGAGCATTATCAGTGGTTATCTCCAGTAATAAAAGTCTAGATGGTATTAATCTTTTTTTTCTTCTGCTTGTCTATGTACTCTCATTCCTTGTGACGGCCACACGCTAGCAGGTGACGCCTGAGCAACACAGGTTAGGAGTGGCAACACCACGCACGCAGCATCGGATCCGCGCGTAACTTCGGACTCCCCGGCACGAGCGAACCCAGTTGCCCCTCGCAGGGGGCTGGTTCCAGGAGGATGCTCCCGTCCCCTAACAAGGCGCATAACAGTGCACACAGTCGGCCCTCCGAGTCCGCGGGCCCCCAGCCTCGGGTGGAGACAGTACAGGTATTTATCAGGAGAAGTCCACATGGCAAGTGGCCCTGCCCAGTTCAAACCTGCGCTGCTCAGGGGTCAGTTGTAATTGTTGCATTTCTTAAAAGAAAAAAAAAACACTTTAAAAAGCCTAAATCAAGACAGAAGAAACACGTGGGCAGCAGCTTCCTGGGCCTCGGCTGTGTGGCCACGAGCAAGGGGCCTGCCTCTCTGTACCTCTGCCCCTTCTCTGGAAAAGGTGACCAGTCTCCCTGCCCAGATCACCTTCCGAGGGGTCTGGAGACCATGGACAAGGAGCTTTGAAACCTGCAGGTGACACCAGCTGGTGGTGCTTTTATTCCCGAGGTGACATCTAGGCAGGCCCCAAGGAGAGGCTCAGAGAACCAAGGGGAGCTGGCCCCTGTTAGAGGGAGGGGAGTCGCCAGTTGTAGTGAACAGAGCTCCGAGGTCGGACCGGGCTCCTGCCCAACCTCAGACTGGCTTCCTTCACCAGTCACACGAGAGGCGTAAACCTCAACCTCATCCCTGAACTCTCCTAGGGTTTCGGAGACAGCAGGACCCTTCTCTCAGATTTCCCTGTTAAACTTGGTAGTTCTAATCCTCAAAATCAGGCATTGTGAGCAAAGAAAAAAGCCAAGTGGGGTAACTTCCCATTATTTTCGGCGACCCCACCGAGCCTGTGCAACCTCCTCGAAAGGTCCAGGAGTCACCCAACAAGCCTCCCACCTGCGTCCAGAACGCACCAGAGACTTCCCCAGCACACCGTTTTGTTACAGCCATACTGAGTTCTGGGGACACAAACGTGTTGTTTTACACATAAAATACTGGCTGAGAAACGTCTGGAAAGACACGAACCTTCTAGGGTGTCTGGGTTTTGTGAGCTGAGAGGCAGTGATAGCAGGACAAAGCCAACAGGGGCGACCTTGAGTGGGGCAGGGCAGACCCAGAAAACCCCGGGCCCTCCAGAGAGCGGCGCGGGGGCGAGGGGGGAACGTGTTATAAAAGGGCCCCCTTCCTGGCGCTGCCACTGAAAGAAACCCCCAGGTGGCAGCCACCACACTGGCAGTGACGATTTTACTGCTACAAGTCACAAGAGCAGCCGACACTCACCCAGCTCTTACCTGTGCCAGGTGCCTAGCAAGGGATTAAGTCCCTTAATCCCTTTAACAACTCTGCGAGCTAGGTACTGTTATCATCCCCACTTACAGATGGAGAAACTGAGGCATGGAGCAGTGAAGAACTCGCCCAGAGTTATGCCCCTTGTAAGCAGCGGAGGCGGGATTCAAGGACCAGGCAAGAGCACTTTCGAGTTCCTCCCTGCCCTGAACCCCTGCCCCTACCCTGAACCCTGGGGAGGCTGTGAAGAAAGGGGGTACAGGGAACCCAGAAGCCCCCCTACTTCACTCTCTCCTTGCCCGAGCCCTTGCCCTCCAGGAAGATGCTGAGAAAAAGCTGGGGCCCTCAGCCGGGCCAGAGGGGCCAGGCGGGCGGCAGCCTTACCCACAGCTTCCCGTCGTAGTAGTAGGCGCCCAGGAGCTTCACGATGTAGGGGTGCTGGCAGGTGGCCAGGATCTCGATCTCCACCATGTAGTCCTCCAGCTCCTCCTCGCTCTTGGTCTCGATCACTTTGGCGGCGGCCAGGTCACCCGTCTCCTTGTTCTTGGCCTGCAAAGAGCAGAGGCAGGTCAACGAGGCGTGCTCGGCAGGAAACGGACCCCCCAGGAGCCGGAGGGGCCGGGTGTCCAGCTGGGGGATGAGGGCTGGCGCGGGGGATACGCCGTCCTTGACAATGGCCTGCGCTCCCAGCATGCGTGAGAAACAGCATTCTATGCTTGATGATACCAAGTGCATTTTAAAAGTCGGACACATGTGAGATAAATAAAAATACCCGAGCGGCGTAGCTCTGCGAACACCAACAGGGAGAGACTGTTGAGTTGTTCAGTAAAAAGTCCAAGTCACTGAACAACACACGTGGTATTCTCATACAAAAATGGAAAAAAAGACGCTTTCACAAATGCTCACCTGCACATGAATGCATGGAAAACTCTGGAAAGATAAAACCTGACCGCAGGCCAGGAAGAGGCAAAGGGCCTCTCAGTGTGTTGTTTAACATGTTAATAGGAAGGGTGCATGTGTATCTTTCTATCACCTCATAAAATAATACACGTTAAACATGAAACAGGACTTCTGCCAAGATGGAGGTATAGGTGGATGTGCCGTGCCTTCTCACACAACCAGGTTTAGGGACAACTAAATATTAGCATCAGAAAACACAACCAGAACACGGAAAACTGAACTTTTCGGAAGTCCATTAACAACAAATTCTTTAGCCCGACCGGTAAGGGGCGAAACCGGCGTCTGGTGAGGGGTTGACTCGGTCGGACCCGGGCGTGGAATCCAGACCCACGAATCCAGACGCACGGGTTCCAAACGCAGGATTGGACCTAGTGAGCGACCGAGCAACCCACCGGGTGCGTGACTGCAGAGGAGACAGTGGGGAGGCGATGCTGCGTGTTGACTGCGGTTGCCTATTTGCGCGCGAGCGGACAGGCGAGGGAGTGGGCAGTTGGACCGGCCGCGGCGACAGAGGGCGCCGCCATTTCCCCGCGCTGACCACGCCCCCACATACAACGTCACAACCCAGCGACCTGGGAGTCCAAGGCGCCGCTTCTCACATTTAAAGGGCCAGAACAGACCAAAAATGTCGCAGGAAGACCTCAAAGCCCCAGAGATAAATTTAAGCGACGAAGAAATAGCAAAACTCTCAGACGCACAGTTTAAAACACTGGTCATCAGGATCCTCACAGATCTGGTTGATTATAGCCACAAATTAGAGAAACATATGAAGGCTAAACTAATGGAAATGAATGGAATTCCACAGGAAACCCATAGCGATGAAAAGGAAACTGGGACTCAAATCAATGGAGTGGACCAGAAGAAAGCAAATAATGGCCAAACAGAAAAGAGTCAAGGAGCAAGAATTCAAAGAAATGAGGAGAGTCTTAGGAACCTCCAGGACATCTTTAAACGCTCCAATATCCGAATTATAGGGGTACCAGAAGGGGGAAAGGCACAGCCACCAGTGGAAAACTTATTTGAACAAATAATAAAAGAAAATTTCCCCAATCTGGCAAAGGAAATAGACTTCCAAGAAATCCAAGAAGCTCAGAGAGTACCAAAAAAGTTGGACTCAAGAAGAAACACACCAAGGCACATCATAATTACATTAGCCAAAATTAAAATGAAGGAGAGAATCCTAGAAGCAGCAAGAGCTAAGGGGACAATCACCTACAAAGGAGTCCCCATCAGACTGTCAGCAGATTTCTCAAAAGAGACCTTACAGGCAAGAAGGGGCTGGAAAGAAATATTCCAAGTCATGAAATCTAAAGACCTACAACCAAGATTGCTCTATCCAGCAAAACTTTCATTTAGAATGGAAGGACAGATAAGGTGCTTCTCAGATAAGATCAAATTCGAGGAGTTCATCATCACCAAGCCCTTATTATATGAAATGTTAAAGGGACTTATCGAAGAAAAAGAAGTTAAAGAAACATGAACAGTGAAAGGACAACAAACTCACAGTTATTAACAACCACACCTAAAATGAAAGCAAACTAAAAGGACAGCTAGATCAGGAGTGGAAACATAGAAATGAAGATCTCAAGGAGGGTTAGCAACAGGGGAGTGGGAGGAGAAGAGGGGGGAGAAGGTACAGAAAATAAGTAGCATAGACAGTAGATAGAAAATAGATGGGGGGGGCAAGAATAGCATGGGAAATATAGAATCTAAAGGAATTGAGACACATGGTCATAAACTAAAGGGGGGGTAATGGTGGGGATGAGGGGTAGGGTGGAGGGGAATGAAGGGGGAATAGAACAACTGTAACAGCATAATCGATTTAAAAAAATAAAAAAATATATAAAAATAAATAAATTAAATAAATAAATAACATGAAACAAAAAAGGGTTTCGGTGAGTGCCCACCCGTGACACCGGAAGTGCTTCTTTGATGGCTTTTCACGTGGGTGTTAACAACTGCTTCTCACTTGATGGAAAAGAGAAAGAGAGTGTCACACTTACAGAAATGGCTGTCATTTTTTTTAAATGACAGAACAGTGTTGGCGATGATATGGACCAACTGGAATCTTTGTGCACGGCTGCTGGGAGAGTCAAGACGGGGGTGGCCACCATGGCCACCACGGGCAACAGTCTGGCGGTCTCTCAAAAGGTGGGAACGCAAAACTAGCCTGTGGCCCAGCGGTGCCAGCCCTGGGTATATAAATAAGCAAAACACGGAAAGCCAGGGTGGAGGGGACAGCCACCCAGCAGCACCGTGCACAGGAGCCGAGGTGGAAGCAACCCAGGTGTCCACCAGCAGGTGAACGGATAAATGAAACGTGGTCCCAACAGTCTGTGGAGTATTATTCAGCCTTAAGGAGGAGATTCTGACCCGGGCCACCACGTGATGAATGCGGAAGACATGATGCTAAGGGATACAGGCCGGGCACAGAAGAACCAGTGCAGTGCGATGCCACCCACGATAGGTACCTGGAGTCGTCAAATTCAGAGCCCCGAAGTGGAACAGAGGTCACCAGGGGCTGGCTACTAGGGGAGATGGAGAGTCAGTGTTTAATAAGGACAGCGTTTCTGTTCGGGATGACGAAAAAGTTCTGGAGACGGACAGCGCGAAAGGCCGGGCAACGCTGTGAATGCACCCAACGCCCCCTCAGCAACAGTGACGATGGCCACCTGCACGTTACACACATCTCACAAGGACCTCAAAACTGGGGGCGAGAGAGAAATCACCGGGTAAACGACAGGAGCAATTCCACCCATGGTGAGCTGGAGTCTGAGAAAGGGGAGCAGAAGCCACGGTCCCCTCTGGTGGTCCCCTGAGCCCCGGGGGCTGTTGCATTGGCCCCACGCGCTGCTCCGGGCTCCGGTGGTTACTCAAAGAGAGCGCTCCTTCCTGCAGCAGGGTCCCGAAAAGCCGGCCGCGCGTCCGGAGCCTTTGATGGGCGATCTGCCGGGAAGCCACGAGCAGCCGCATCAGGCTCCACCAAGGTGCCTCCCTGGGGACAGCAGTGTTGGGAGGGACAGGTAGTAAACCAAGACGGGGAGGAGGAGGGAGGGCGCCTCTCCCGCTGACTCAGCAGCAGCCCTAAGCTCGGCCTGATAAGATTGCCAGGTGCTCCGATCCCCACAGGCAGGGTGAGCGCAGGTGCAGGGGAGTCCCGGAGACTCCGTGCTGGGAAAGGGGGCCTCTGTGGCCACCTCGCTGAGACAGAGAGCCTTCCCTAGCGAGAAAGCAAGCCTTTGTAGCTGTACCTTATTCCCAAGGTTCAGACGGGGGAGAGGAAGGAAGAACCTAGAAACTGACTAAAGTACATAACCCCTGAACCCAGACAGTCAGCACACTCAGGTCAGCTGAGTGCCCACTTGTAGCCTCGGCTCAGGGGTACGGAATAAACTTACAAACAGGCTTACGAACAACTTTATTTCCTCCACACGTGGGGTGTTCAGACTAGCCGGCACCTGCCTGCAGCTTTGTGCTCGTGTGTTTTTCATAAATAAACCTGTCATCTATGTGTTGTCTCTCGTGTGAAATCATGTCTTGTGAGCAACACAAGAACGGAGGAGAGGCGGGAGGCCCCTGACCCGGGTCTCCCCGGTCACCGCAGCATGGGCCACTCTGGCCTTACAGGACGTGACAAGGTGCACTGGAAACGCCCCTACTCGGCTCCCCAAGGATGACGATGGGCACCCGCGTCACCTCACATGATCGTCACGGTAACCAGAGCCTCAGTGTCCCTGTCCCACAGAAAGGCAAGTCCAGGCTAGAGAGGGGACATGACTGGAACTAGAGTAGTGGCATCACCATGTAAGTCTGGGTCCTGCAAGTCCGAAGACTCTGCACACTTTGCATTGCTGGGCAAGGGCTCCCTGTCGGCCCAGAACCCAGAAGCCTCCGAGACCAGATGCCCACAGACACGTACAAGCGGCCCCAGGCTGGCTGGGCACAGGGCACAGGGCACCCACGACTCGGAGGCACAGAAGCCCTGCCCCTGGCTGCGAGGGGCTCAAGGTCCAGCTGGAGAGGCCCACCCCCCAGAGCCGGTGGGGAGAGACCGGGTGCAGGGTGGGAACTGGGCACTAAGTCTCGCCAGGGAGGCTTCCAGAGGGAGTCATGCCAACAGGCAAGTGTTACATTCGCTTGCAAATTTTTTCTCAGGTCAGGTAAATGTTTCAGTTAATTGAGTTGCAAAGTCCACACTTAGTCACAGTCCACTCTGCATGGGACCTCAGTTGACACTTCATCGTGGGCTAATTCATTCATCTCAACAACCCTACCACGCAGACGCTGCTATTAGCCCCTGTCCAGATGAGGGGAGCGCAGCAGGGCCCCCAGGGATGCTGGGGAGACCGGTGGGTCTGGAACCCCGGCCGCCTGTCCTGCTCCTGGTCTGCGTTCTCCCAGCTGCCTTCTTCCTCCGTCACTGAGAGGCTAGGAGACCTCCCCCGTCCGGCCCAGGAGCCCAGTTCAGGGCTGGGGTGTTCACATGGGGCCATTCCTCGGGCTCAGTCCTCGCCCTAGAACTCGCCCTGGGTGGCGTGCTCTCCCCTAATTCCAGGCTTCCTCAGAGCCCCTGGAAACCCCACCAGTGA